CTAAGTTACTCCTGCAGTAACCCCTCGGATAGATACCCCCCGGGTACACCTATCCATCAGGCGCATAAGAAGATGTAACTCACGCATAACAAGATGCAACTCACGCATAATAACATGTAACTAGAGTATAAGATGATGTAACTTCGTATATTATCAAATGTAACCCAAGCTAGAATCAAAATAAACAAACTCAATAAAAAATATTGAGTGTATGCATATAAAAATATATTACAAAAATAATGTATGAATATAAAAAGATATTACAAAAAATAGTATATGAATATGAAATGCAATGTACTTGTCTTATTTAGATTATTAAACTTTTTGTTATGTACTGATAAAGAATAAAAAAATAGATTCAATTGTAATTTAAATTGAAGATAAGAAAAATTAAAACTGCAATTACATTTTTAATATTTTAATTTGATGGAAATGGAGAAGAATTGAAGAAAAGAAAAATAAATAAAGAATAGCAAAAAAGGGAAGGAAAAAGCTCCAGCAAAAAAAGGAAGCTACGTAACTTGTCAAAAGTGGGATCGACACATCATGCGAAAGGTGAGCCGATCCCACGGTATAATTTGCCTCACATTGGGCAGTATCAATTTGGAGCTTCAATTTGACTAGCATATAGTATCACCACAAAAGGTTTAAGTTGACTAGTCAAGAAACGGGTGGAAAGTCTCATGGAGTCATGGACTCATGGACTCAAAGAAGCTATTGGATCAGCATTTCACCCACTTCCATCGTAGAGTAATTAAAAGGATGGAGTCCCATGACTCCCATGAGAGTAAACATCTAAATAGGTTTCTGAAGAAGAAGAATTCAATTTAAAAAAAAATTATAGACTTGCATTTGGAGCAATCCGATCCATTGCAATCCTTTTAGACCATTGTAGTGGTCAAGAGTACAAAATGTTACCCGTGGACTTCGTTCATATGAAAACAGTGTTTAGACTCCTATTTTCCTGCAACCCAGCGTCGTCAATAAAGTACATTCGTCATGTTTTTTACATATCAATTTTGTAAATAAATAAATAAATTATTATAAGTAATGTATTTTGTTTAATTTTTTTCCTAAATGATTATGGAATAAAAAATACACATTTTGATGTAAGAAAAATTAAATTTCATTAAAAAAATTGTTACTTTTATTTTTTACTTTTTTCAGTTTTAATAAAGAATAAAATGATTTTATGTAATACTTAGTTATTTATTGAGGCTCAATAGATAAAAAATTTGTGTTTCGTATTTTCTTGGGGTCAAGAAAGCTCCAACAATTAAAATTTCAAAATTTGTTTACGCTTTATATATGTAATATTGGTGTCATTTGAAAAATCATAAAAATTTACTAATTTTGATATTTTTTTTGAAAAAATTGGCTCAAAATAAAAAGTTATTGCAATTTTAAATTTTTTGGGGTATTATGACAAAAGCATGACGTCATCAGAACCAAGAGCAAACCTATGGCTGGTTCGTTTCTTTCCCTTTTTCTTTTCTTTTTCCCTTTACCCACTCCTGTCAATCCACCTTCTAAAACTACACTCCTCCATTCACTTTATCACTTTTATCCCCCTTTTAACACACCACTAAACTAAATTAAGAGTCCAAAATCCTCAATTTTAACATTTTGGACTCCTAATCGGCTAATTCTACACCACTATAAAGGGATTCAAAAATTGAAGTACAAATTCTTTTTTGCATATATCTAGATTTTTAGAGTGTACATAAAAGATATTGATAAGTTGGTACAAGTTTAAACAATTATATAAACAAATTTTTAAGTTTGAAACTGTCTTCTTATTTCTCTTCAAAACAATTGTACTTCCAGTTAAATTCTTCATTTAATTGCTGGTAATTCGGAGGCAGTTTGGTAGAAGATAAATTGGCTAAAAAATTTACATAGTGAACTGTTTAGCTTAAACAGTTAAATTGGTTGAATCTGCTTAATTAAGAAAAGTTACATTTAAAATAAACCTTAGTAATAAAGTATATAGACATATAGTAAATAGCTAAATAGTTATCTTCTACAAATTCAGTCAAAAGAGCAACTGATACCTACTTATTTGGATTAGTACCCTACTTAGATGATAATGCTGATAAGCCAATAAAGCTATATGTTTGACAAAAAGAAATTGTCTGATAAAATTGACAATCCAAAAATATGAATTATCAAACAATTTATGTGTTTCACATTAAACTTTCTTGATACACCAAATTCATAATCTATAACACCCAAAACCACATTACTTGCATCTCCCAAAGTCCTATTGAAATCTATCGATTATTCATTGGAGTTCACGAGTGCCACATGGCATAAGAAAGAAGAAGGGGTGGGGATTGTGTGAAGGGATAAGGGTTTTTGGTGCTTGAGAAAAAGCCATCTGGCGAATGACATAAAGAGTTGCACGGTTGATATATTGCAATTAGTGTTATTTTGGCTGGAACGGTTGAATAAGTTGAATCTAATGAATGAGTGACTCCCTCTTCCTCCTTATATTTACATATGTAACACCCCGAAATTCGGGGTGTTATCAATAAGGTTGGAGGTTAACATATATTATCCCCAATCTTAAATTCTTTATTGCTCTTGTGGTTATCAGCTTGAAGTTTCATTCTATCTTAAGCCCTTTTTATATGAAATTTTAACAACTCAATACATTTCTCCGTGGCCTTTAAACTTCTATCAACCACTTCCACTGCACTATCTCCACTGCACTATCTCCATGAACATAAAGTATATGGACAATAGGAGGTTGACAATACACTATCTCATAGGGAGTTTTTTAGTAGTGGAATGATAATTAGTATTAGACCACCATTTAGCTAAGGGTATCCAATTTTCCCATTCATTAGGCTTCTCTCGAGTTATACGCCTAAGATAGGTATCTAGACATTTGTTGACCACTTCTGTTTGTCCATTCATTTGAGGATGGTAAGATGTAGACATGTGAAGATCAACCCACCACACTCTGGAATAGTTCTTTCCAAAATGTACTAAACATATCTGGTCTTTATCAGTTATAATTGTTTGAGGCAAGCCATAATGTTTCAAAACCCGATCAAGGCAAACCTCTGCAAATGAAACAACCGGGTATGGGTGAGATAGTAACAAAAAATGAGCTATTTACTTGGTCTACCTACCACCACTAGGATCATATCCTTCTCTTGTAATTTCAGAAATCCTTCACAGAAATTCATGGAAATCTTGACCCATATTGCTTCTGTAATGGATAGAGGTTGTAACAATCCTGCTGGATTTTGTAAAATAAGTACTACCTCCGTCCCAAACCAGGGCAAAGAGAACTGTTTTGGCACACATTGTAAAGTAAGTACTACCTCCACCCCAAACTATGATGGGGACAAAGTGTGCAGTAAAAGAGAGAATTGTTGATTTGTGAGGACAATACTCGTTATAGAGAGTATGTAGGAGTAACTACCTTGGACCTTGCGGGGTCAGGATGTTATTGGTGGTATCAGATCAACTATTCGATAATGTGCTAATCCACTAGATATCGGGCGACCCTTAGCATGGGAGGATTAGAGTCTGATTGAGATTGGCTTATGGGCGCAACGAAGATGTTGAGATCTTAGTGATTACTTGAGATTTGATTACAAAATTAATAATAATACTTGATAGAGTATATGGACTCAGAGCTCGATCTCATGACTATTGGGCCATATAGCGGCCCATGTACGCTGAGTAGATGACATTTTCACTATATTATTATTATTGTTGTTGTTGTTGTTATTCTTTTTATTATTATTCAGCTACTCTAGATTATGTTTTTATATTATTAGTCCTTTTATGTAATCAGGTCTGTCAGACCCATACTAGAAGCCCAGATTCGGATTTTCCTATATATACTCCTTGTAGACCCTAATTCCTAAGACATGACTCACATTCAATACAAAATATTGTCATCTTCTCCTTCATAGCTGAAACTCTCCATTAATTATATGTTTGGATACCCTATTATCCATCACTACTTATACGAATAAGATGCATCTTCTTTTAAGGCAACTTATCGGTAAAGGATTAGTGCCTTGGACCCTGCGGGGTCGGGGTGTAACAACTCCAATTCCCAGGTTTGAAGTGTTGGTCTCTACATTGAAAGGAAGGGTGAAATCGAGTAAAGCTAAAATTGGGCCATGACATAAACCTTGTTTCAACATGAGAAAAGCTTCCCCGGTCTCCTTTCCCCAAGGAAAAGCATTTTTTATAGCAGGCTAGCGAGAGATTTACTCACAATGCCATATCCTTTGACAAATTTTTTGTAATACCCAGTCAGCCCGAGAAATCCTCTTGATCCCTTCACCCCTCTAGAGCCGACCACTCTTGAATAACCTCTATCTTCTTGGGGTTTGAAGATAGACTTCACCAAGCTTTAAAAGGTAGAGGGGACATTAGTTAACCCAAATGACATCACTACAAATTAATATAGTGACCTACATGGGTTCGAAGGGACGTCGTCTCTATGTATTCTTCTTTCATTCTAATCTGCGAGTAGCTGGATCTCAAATCGATTTAAAAAAAAAATTGGGATCCTATAAGTTCACCTAGCAATTCACGGGAATAGGGAACTTGCCTTTGATGGCGTGCTTATTTAGTTCTCTATAATCAGCACAAAATATCCAACTTTCATCATTTTTATTGATAACACCACTAGAGAAGAGTCGGGACTATGACTTTCTCTAATGATTCCATTACCCAACATCTCTCACCTTAATGCAGTAGTTCTATTTTGAATTTAATAAGTATAATATTTGATGTTCCATTTTTTTTATGAGGAAGCTGCTTAGGTTCTTCAAAAATATAATTTCTTGAAACTTCATTAGTACTTTATGATTTCTGGAATAACCTCCCCGTTTGAATCATCTTCTTTGAGAGCCTTATGATCTTCAAGAAAATTGTAGTCAAAGCTTAAGAAAAGAATATATACATACGTAGCTTCATGTAGTTAAAGCTTAGGAGAGGAAAAAATTCATATGTAGCCCATTTTTTGTTGTTGCTCAAAGCATGATCTTTCTTCACCTAAAACAAACAGATTTACATGACTTAAATAGCCACTCACACGACCTAGCACTACACACACGCCACTAAGTAATTTAAATAACTAACTTCCCATGACTCCATGTTCTACACCCATGCATGAATGCCTACCATTTACATGCATGTAAATAACTTAATTGACCAACTTAACTAATTGACCCAAATTAGACTAATACTAATGCAACGACACATACGCACATCAGTGCCGCTACAACACATGCACGGTGTCATGCGAGATGCGACGCACACTACTTGGCCACAAATTAAAACACAATCTAATCAACTAGATTTAACACTAATAACAAGATTTGTTCCAACAATCACCTCCCAAATCTTGTTATTATTTATTTCCCTCTTGAAACCATTGTCGTCGATGCAACACGTAGACGAGAGGCTCGCACCTCCTACGTCGATGCAATCACCGCCCGTGCCATCTCTTGTCACGCCGATTGCCACCATCAACGCTGGCCTCGACGAGAGGCTCGCACCTCCTACGCCTTTATCGCGAGTGTGCCCCCCATGATATGCTCGATGCCGCATGTTTGCCACCAGTGTCGCAACTCGCCGGTGAATCTCCTCCATGTTGCCGCCGATGATGCACCTTGTCGACGACCCGCACATGTTCATCCTCGATGCCGCAACTTGCCGGTGACCTGCCTCCATGTTGCCGCCGATGACGCAACTTCTCGATGACTCAAACATGAACGAAGAACTCCTCATGACAATGGCCTCCACGCCATGACCATCACCTTCTTGCCGCCTATGGCGCAACTTACCAGGCAGCATACCTTTCTCCATCGCTCGTGACGCAGCTTGATGACGATGGCGACTCGGACCTCGATGAATGAGGCTCTGATACCAAATGTTGGTTAAACTACTAAACTACGCATTTAATCTAAACACAATGTTTTTAAAGAGAAAAGATGCTTTTGAGCACACAAAAAACAAAGCTACGTATATTTTTCTTCATAAGCATTAACTACATGCATGAGTTCTTTCTATGTGATCATATCTCTTTAAAAACATTGTGTTTAGATTAAATACGTAGCTTAGTAGTTTAGCCAGCATTAACGTAACATGCCTGTCACTTCCTTTCTTCTATGATGGTAGGCCTTTCATAATCTTCCATGAATAATGAAAGAGCCACTACCGTTACTTTCTTAGCTAGAGTGTTGAAGTAGTAGTTGAGCTACATTTTAATGGCAGAATATTTGCTAGCGAACGTCGCTCTGATATCAATTGGAATAATTCAAGGATTATTTCCGAGAATTATTTAAGCTCCATGTGGGAATTCTGGAGAGAAGAATTCGAACAATAAGAATTGCAGAGATGGAGATGAAGAATAAGAGGAACAAGATGATTAATATTCTTCAGATAGATCCTTTGAGTGCACTTTGAGAGAATTTATATACAAGAGGTTACAACTTACAAGATGAATAAAAACTAAGTAACAACTAGTCTATTATAGCAAAGATGTTGCAAATTAAGATGGCGTTTGGTAACACTATTTTTCGGCTTATTAAGCTTATCTGACAACTTTTTCACCAAACACGTAACTTTTGCTCTCGCGCGCTGAATTGTGTTATAAGCAGAAAAAATAAGGTTGAAGTTACTTTTCTGTCTGTACTGCTGAAGTTACTGTAGATGACTATTTTAGCTATTTTTATATATAATTTGTTCTTTATTTTATTAATAAAATATATTTTAAAATTATTTTTTTCTTAAATCAACAGAATCAGCCAATGCAACCACTTCAGCCGCAACTTCATAAATTTCAGCAGAATCAACCAAAACAGCCGATTTTCATGCTACCAAACAGGCTCTAATTCTGACATGGTTTGAATAACATGGTTAGTTGAATAACATGGTTTCCTCCTTATCTATGTAATCTGCCAGCTGATAAGACCAAGCTCTCTTCATTCTTTCATGACATTTTCCAGGGAAATTAAAGTCAAATTACATAACTAATTAAAAAAGAATGCATCGAAGTTATGAGTAAAACATCAAACCTCCCTAACAATAGATGACTAGAGGTGTGATAAAAAAGTACTTCCACCGTACCAAATGATTTAAAAGTCAACTTTTTTGTCAAACATTTTCATTTTATTCACTCAATTAGGATTTAAATTTTTAAACATATTCTAATTTCAATTTCAGTTTAATTTCTGGATATGTAAATTTTAATTACTTCGTATTAAATTAAATTTGTTATCAATATGTACTATTTAACTTTCACATTGATTGATCGAAAAATGTGGACTTTGCAAATCAATTTGGGACGAAAGTAGTATATGCAATAGAGAACACCAAATAGTACACACATTTCGTAAATACTCCGTATCACATACATATTGAGAAAGGTGAGTTAGGTTGGGAACATGCCGGGAGGCTATGACAGATTTGAGAGAAATGAGCATTACATGTTAATCAAGCATCACTACTTAAAATGGGAACGAGGATTATGTTTGGGATCCATTTCATTGGCCGGTTTTGACTCTCGCCACCTCAAATCGTTTGTCTCACTGCACATGTAGCTCAACGGTGGTTGAGTGAGATAATTAGGCTTAAGTCTTAAATTTAATTCCAGCATTAGAGTTTTATCTAATGTGGTGACTGTTTGTGTGCATCAAACCCTTAATCACCTCACTTATAAATTGTTTGAGATCATACCAATTTAGTCTTCCACTATTTTGTGGAGTAGGCTGGCCCTCAACAAATTCCACTCTAATCTTCACACGATGGGCCGGGCAACCGCCCCCAGCCCGTCACTCATCTTCATACCAGTGGCAGAACCAGAAATGTTACATTAGGGGATGAGGTTTTAAGATTTTATGTTTTTGGGCTCAAAGTTTAAAATTTTAATTTTACATCTGTCCCGGTGAACTTTTTCAAATGTAAAGTAAGTGTGAAATAAGAAAGTAAAAAATGTGTTGTTGAGATTTGTGCAGAGGAGAGAGAAATGTGCATAATCACAAAATTAGTTGTTTCAATTGAAAACCGACAAAGTTTTTTGGGACAACCGAAAAGAAAAAATTAACAAAGTCCAATGAGACGGAAGCAGTATAATTTTATTATTTATAAATATTTATGTAAATGTATACTCCGTATAATAATATAAATCACAAATGTTTTTTTTTGGGTGGTCAAAGATCCCTCTAGCATCCGCTCTCTCCACCCCTGCCAGACTGAGATACGAGATATGAGTCTCCAGCACCCTATATATGAGTTTAATGCACCAAACCCCATCATGATATATAAATTCAGCGCATTAGCCCATGTGATTTGAAAAATGCGTCAAACCCCCATGTGTTTTAATTAATCATGCATAGAACCCTTTTTATGACTAAATTTAATGATTTTGAGATCACTTTTCCTAATTTTTCGATTGAATATACAAGTAAATATGTCAAAATCTCTAAATCATACAAAAATGTTAATCATTCTTCTTATATTTGATAATTGAATTTGTTTATAGAAGGGATTTCGCGCATAATTAATTAAAACACAGGGGAGTTTGACGCTTTTTTTTAAATCACATGGGACTAATGCGCCAATTTCCATATCACATGGGGATTTGGTGCATTAAACTCGCTATATATACCCAGCATGTACGTCGTTGTTCAATACATAATACCCTGTTGGATACTCCCTCCGTTCCACAATGAACTTCACAGTTTGAACTACGCACATATTAAGGAAATAAACTTAACATGGGGTAAATTTTACTGTTTCGACAGTATTGTTTCGACACTGTTTGGTACTGTTTCGACACTGTTTAGCACTGTTTTGCACTGTTTGACACTATTTTGATTTAGATTAATTTGGCATTTAAGGAATTGAGAACTTGTTTCTGGACATCTAAAAAAGGAAAGTGAGAAGTTCATTGCGGGAAGGAGTATATGCATGTTTTACTGTACATTTGTTTATGAAAACGCACATGGATAATGGAGCACTTCTGATGTAGATGCTGAAATGAGATGAAGATTCAAAAAGTCTTAGTCATTATCTAGCTGGCAAACCTTAGGAGTGAGTCTGTGATTCTGTCAGTGTTGCCGAGGTGGTGAAATATGGATGGCAAGAGTAGGTCCTTATCATTTCTTCTCAAATGCTAAAGATACCCGAAAGTGTACATTAATGTGTGAGCATAAATGAGATAATTTATTTAAATGAGGTATCATTTAAATTAATTGCCTCATTTATGACCAGGTGTGAGCTAAAAAAGGAGAAAAATTCTAAAGGTACACACTTTTTGGTGTACACACTTTTTACACATGTCTGTGTAAGATTTTTTTTATGTCTGTACAGACATAACGTATTTTAAAAATACGTTATGTCTGTACAGACATAAAAAAAACCTTACACAGACATGTGTAAAAAGTGTGTACACCAAAAGTGTGTACCCAAGTCCAACTCAAAAAAGGATACATTTGGGTACTCTGACCAAACTCATTTCTTTGCCCGATAAAACCTCTATAATCGCAGTGGGTGAGGGGTACTGATCAATGCTCATAAACAATTGGAGTGGGCCCTACACTGAATCTAAAACTAAGATCTGCCTGGTCCCACACTGTTTTAAGATTCAGACTTCACTAAGATTCTGCTCCCCTTGGGAATAGGGATGAGTGCGTGTCTTCTATCTCGAACTCTTAACCATTGTCTTTGAAAATTTGATCCTAATTTTGTTTCCTAACTATTAGTCTGTCGGTCTCATTCAACTTTGTGAATTTCTTTTTTTATTATCACAAAAAACTTTATCATTTTCCTATTAAAGCAACTAATTTGTAATTCTGTATATTTCTCTCTTTTCTAAACAAATCTCAACCACACAGTTTTTACTTTTCTTATTTCTCACCTACTTTGCACTTCACAAAGTCCACAGGGATGAAGAGAGTATTAAGTAATCCATTCTAGACTTTCTAGTACGAAGTATTTGGGATTTGGCCAACTAGAGTCCCTAAACGATACTCTCTTTGCTTAAACTTTAAAAGTTGGATTTGGCCAACTAGAATCCCTAAACGATATGATATTCTCTCTTTGCAACTTTTTTTTGGAAGACTCTTTGCTTAAACTTTAAAAGTTGGAATTTTATCATTTGAAACATAAATAAGTTCATTATCAATGACTCTGTCGATATAAAATCAAAATGATTGAAAATATCAACCAACCAAAAACTTAAAATATACTCCATCCGTCACGCTAAAATTGTCCCATTTTACCTTTTTCGGAAGCCCACTAAGATTGTTTCATTCCAAATTTGGTAAAGATGGTGTGACTTTAAATCATTCTTACTTTATTCTTACTTTATCAATTTAATATCAACCACACAAACTCACTTTTCTTAATAGTCGTGTCACCTTCTTTTGTTCCAATCTTAGTGGGACGGAGGTAGTAATTGATTTTGATTTATTTAATTTTTTATTAATTCCATTATTAATCTTTTACAATTTCTTCTTCACAAAAGTTGATTGTTTTAATAAGATTAAATAAAATTTAAATCATGTTATATTTTAGATTGGTTTCCAAACATTTGAATCCTATATCAAACTTAATCTTTCAGACCTCTTAATGATAGTAAATGAACATATCTTTCATGTTTCAGGTTAATAAATTTTCGGAAACTTTATCAATTCATAACTTGAAAAATAGATACACTATTAATTTGGTGTATTTATTTTTTTTATTAATAATTCCATTTTTTAATACTTCTATTAGTTTTTTAAAATGATTAGGTCCTTTTAATTTAAGTCTTAAATCAATAATTTTCAATCAACCGGAGCCTATACCAACAAATTTTGTCTTTGAGATCTCTAATTGATAATTCTTTTATCTTTCAGTTCTTAAGTTATAAATTTCTCAAAGTTAATACAAGTAATTATGGTACAACCCTCGTCAAACACATGAGAGAGTGTCGCGGTTATTTAGAAAAGTGAGTTTATGTGGTTGATATGAAATTTATAAAATAAGAATAAAGTAAAAATGATTTAGATCACACTAACTTTACCAAATTTGGTATAAAACGATCTTAGTGGAAAAAATCGAAAATGAAAGATGAGACTATTTTAGTACGACAGAAGGAGTATCATTTATGTCATGCACTAGTAATGGGCCTTTAGCCGAAAATTTACTATAGGCAGATTTCTTAGTGGGCTTTTGGGTGGGTAATAAATTAATATAGGTCGCCTTATCCGGACCTAAACACAGTAAAGACAGTGTGTATATATACAACCACATTGTATTCGTACATGCTGGGTAATTGGGTATATAGCTAGTAGCTAGGTTGCTTCTTAATTATCTCCACCACTGCCTTCCGTATGGGGGGAGTTATCCGTCGTCACCTCAGCCGCCGGCAGGAAGGGAAAGTGTCAGCCGGAGACCAGAGATGGCTGTCGTCCGGCCCATCGGAAGATTAGAGTAG